TGTGGAAAATAGTATAGCAGTGCTTCAAAAACATTAAAAATAGAGCTACCTATGACGCAGCAATTCTGGTTCTGGGCCTAGACCCAAAAGGTCTGAAGGTAGGGTCTTGAAGAGATATTTGTACACCCACGTTCCTAGCAGCACAATTCACAGTGGCCAAAAGGTAGAAGCAACCAGATGTCTGTCGATGGGTGAACGGGGAAAGAAAATGTGGTCTATATATAGAAAGGAACATTATTCAGCCCGAAAAAGGGAGACAATTCTACTATATGCTACCGTGTAGATGAATCTTGATGAAGAAAGCCAGTCACCAAGGGACAAATACTGTATGATTCCACTTATAGGAGGTACCTCAAATTCCTAGAGATAGGAAGTAAAATGGTGGGGTGCCAGGGGTTGGCGGGGAGGGGAGTGAGGTGTTAGTGTTTAAAGGGGACAGTTTCAGCTGAGGATGAAGAAGAAGTTCTGGAGATGGATGGTGGTGGATGGTTGTACAGTGTGAATATACTTAATGCCACTGAACCATACACTTGAAAATAGTAAAGATGGTCAATGTTATGTTATGTGAAGTTTTCCACAATAACATTTTTAAAGGGCTGTACGTCCACCACCACCTTCATGACAACAACTTGCCCTGACTGGATTTGAGCCGTTTCACTTGCCTACATGAAAAATGGCTGAATCCTGAATAATTTAAAATTCTGGGTGAATTCTGGATGCCATCAACTCATCCATGTATGGTTATGGTGGCACTTCGGGGTCAGAAGGGGAGAGGAGATATGAAATAGATGACATTTGTATTTGAACGTCCCAGAGGTTACTCAAGGTGGAGCTGCCATCAACTGAGACATCTGTGACTCTAAAATGTTCCCCCAATTCTCACTGTGGTCATTACTGTTACCCTCATAAGATTTGTGCCCTTGAAGGAGGAACATGAACACCCATGGGTTGACAAGAGAATGACCTCACTACGGTCTCTAACCCACTATTATGTCTTCATCTTGAGTCCAAGGAAGTACCCTTTGCCTCCATAAAAGGAAAATCTAAGACAGATAGGAGGGTAATCACATTAAATATCTACTGGTTGTATCTTTTTTTTTTCATGAACAACTACTCAACATCACTCAGCATCAGGGAAATCCAAATCAAAACCTCAATGAGATAACCACCTCACACCAGTCAGAATGGCTAAAATTAACAAGTCAGGAAATGACATGTTGGCGAGGATGCGGAGAAAGGGGAACCCTTCTACTGGTTGTATCTTGAAATAACTCTCGTAAGAAAGCACTTGGAATGCTGAATTGTCCTGAGTGGGTTCCTTATGTCGGTGTTTTTAAAAGTGTAGACCGGGTGCCTGGGTGGCTTGGTCGTTTAAGCATCTGCCTTCGGCTCAGGTCATGATCCCAGGGTCCTGGGATGGAGCCTTGCATTGGGCTCTCTGCTCCACGGGGAGCCTGCTTCTCTTTCTCCCTCTGCCTGTCCCTCCCACTGCTTGTGCTCTCCCACTCTCTCTGTCAAATAAATAAATAAATAAAGTGTAGACCCCCTGAGTTGGAATTGCTTGGGGCTCTTGTAAAAAGAGACATAATCCATGGAGGGGAGGGGGGTGGGAGGATGGGTTAGCCTGGTGGTGGGTATTGAGGAGGGCACATTCTGCATGGAGCACTGGGTGTTATGCACAAACAATGAATCATGGAACACTTCATCTAAAACTAATGATGTAATGTATGGGGATTAACATAAGAATAAAAAAAAAAAGAGACATAATCCAGGGTTCTACCTCAGACATACTTAATCAGGATTTCTGGGGGTAGAACCTGGGAATTTGTATTATTGACAAATCCCTTAGTGATTCCTACTGACTGAGAAACAAGAGCCCGGGGCCAGCCCAAGTGAATTAATTAGGAAGCCTGGGACAGACAGTGGCCATCTTGGGTAGCTACCATTTTGGTGGGAGAAAAACCAGTGGTGACCACCAGGGGACTAAGGGGTAGTAGTAGGGAATTGGCAAGCAGGAGGCTTGGCTAACCTGATCATTTCTTTAGTCTCAGAAGGGGCAGATTCTGCCCCCTTTTTGCTAGAGTCCAGAGATGGCAGTTTTTGATCGACATACGGTGCGCAGGGAAGGCAAATCTATATTCAGAGTATCTATTTCAGAAGAACAAAGTGTTACCCTTCCCATGATGGAAGTGGTTAAATGTAATCAACCTGTCGCCAGGTCGCTGGCTAATCACGTCAGAGAATAGTGCCATATCAGGACTCAGTGTTTGGTCTTTGCTGCTGGTGGACTGAGCATTCAGTGGTAGCCAGGCCAGCGTCGGTGAGTGGAAGCCCGTGCATAACCTCCCTCCCTGCCACTCGGACCCAACGGGCCATGGCATCAATGGCGGAGGAAAGAGCCTGACTGGTGCCCACAAATGGGTCATGCCGTCAACTTGGTTATTTAAAATCCCCCTCTGCTGAAGTTATCCTTTGGTGAGCATTAACATGGGATACAAATCTCTTCACATTCTTTAGCCATTCAGAGAAATCTATCAGTATCCCTCTTCCTCAAACCTCCTTGGCACCAATTTTTCAGTAATGTTCCTTCCAAATTCCTGACCATCCAGCTAAACCATGTTCCACAGCCCATGAATTGGTATAGACCCTCACCTTGTCATTTCTTCTTGCAGGCAAAATGCACAACCAGGTGCACTGTTCCCGGTTCTGCCCTGGGAGGATTTCCCTTCACCTGTCCTCAGGGATGCTCCATAAAGGGACTGTCATGCTTCAGTGTCCACTTTTGGGCTTTGAACACAGTTTTCCGTAACCATGACATACCCTCAAGACCCCGAGACCAACCAGTGAGGTTACATAGACTTTTTTTCCAAGAACAAACAAGGTTCACAGTCAGAAGGAAATGGGTAGAGTCTGCTCTGGGACACCTATGTTCATTCAGCAGCTGTTTCATGAGTACTTGCAATGTGGAGAATGGGTAGTGATGGGTCCTATCCATGGACCACTAAGGACCAGTTCAGGAAGAAGAGCTCAAAAGAACCCACTTCCCGACATCAACAGCAATGAGACAGAATGAGTTGAAGAAGCCTCCTTGGTGCCTCTCTTCTCCCACCCAAAGCCCCTTTGGTACTTGTGGGAGGTGGGTACCAGTATTAACTTCATGCTGGCCCGGGTCCTTGAATGAATGATGCTTGTTCCTGCTGACACCATGAATCCTAGGTGGTGATGGGTACATTCCTTGGCCTCAGTCACTCAAGCACACTGTTACAGACAGCTTTCCTGTCTTGATGCCTAAGCAAGATGAGAAAGGTCTAGCAGTTGGTTTATTCATCTTCCACGTATTTTACGAGTTGTTTATTAACCTACTGCTGTGAGATCTAACTCGTGTGCAGCAAGGACTATCACCCCCTTTGATCTGCACCTCCTGGTTCTTAAGATACCACACAGGGTTATCTACTTTGTGCAGGCTCCAGATTTCTGGTTTCTTTCATACTCTGCTCTGTTTAACATTCTGATCCTTCTGTTTGCCGTTTAAATAATTTCCTATGGTTGTCTCTTTCAAATGCTGAGGAGGGTTTTAGGCAAGCATACATTGCAGCTTAAAAAGTACTTGAGGTATGAAAGTGGTATATTTTAGTTAAGCCACAAATAGTATCTATCTATCTATCATCTATCTATCTTCTATCATCTATCTATCATCTATCTAACTATCATCTCTTATCTATCTATCATCTATCATCTATCTATCATCTATCTCTTGTCTATCTATCTATCCATCTATCTATCATCTATCATCTGTCTCTTATCTATCTATCATCTATCTATCTATCTATTATCTATCATCTATGTATGTATGTATGTATGTATGTATCTATCTATCATTTATCTGTCTGCCTGTCCATCATCTATCTATTGTGTTTAGGCTCAAATACACACACACAAACACATACAGACACAGACATACACACACACGCACACATACACACACATTATGTTTAGAGTAAAATATACCCACACCTAGGCACACACATTCATGGCAATTCTGTTACCATGGAGACAGTTCTACAATGGCTTAAGAATTGCTTAATGTATAAAAGTATTAAAAGATTATATCCAGTAAGGCACACACAGTTCCACTAAAAAAAAAGACCATATTTATTCCTCAGGATCTGGGTCTTTCCCATGAACATGCAGTAATGAAACTTACAAAACTCTCAAATTTAAGAAATTCAGTGCTCCTACCGACCATAAAAACCTATTTGTAGGCATTGAGTCATTTGCCTGTATTTAAGAAGTGTTTGCCAAATTATTGGTACTGCTTTTTTATTTTTATTATTGCTACTAGCATCCTGTTGAGGGTGGACAGTGAATGATGAGGGTGAAAGCAGTACAGAGAAATGAAAGGGGCCCTTGAGACCATCTGTGTGTGTGTCGTGGCCATCCATCCAAGACAGGCCAGTCACTTCCAGGTACTTCTCTGGGTGAGTGCAATAGCCAGTCTTCACTGAGGGATGTCATGGGACAGCCCCATGGCCAGTGCTGGGCTGGGCAAGCCCGGGCATGGGGTACTTGCTTCGCCCTATGGTGGAAGGCTGCCCTGGCCAGAGATGGGAGGGTCATTGCCAGGGATGCAGGGCAGGTGGCTCTAGTTCACAGCTGTCTGCTCCCACCACCAGGAGACCCAGGTCCAGGTGTTCATTGTTTAGACTCATCCAGAAGAGAGGAGTGATCCTCCAAGCATCGGGTTGAAGGAGTTTTGAACTCCAATGCAAAAGGTTCAGGAAGAGGCTTTGAGAAACCCACAGCTGCTTCGCAGGGGGCTGGGCTGGCGTGGTGGGAGCAGGGACCACGCAGCCCGGGGTGGGATCTGGCTCTGCCCACCACGTGCTGCATGGCTTTGGAGCTTCGCCTCATCCCAGCCTCATTGCTTCCCCAGTGAGGAGGAGGAGGTTGACGCTTAAGACTTCAGAGACCCCACCCATATCATCTCTCCCCCAGGGGAGGTAACCTCTGTGTTATTACATTTCTCTGTATCCCCTCCCTCTGTCCCTACAGCACTTAGAAGCCTGCCTCCGACAGATGAGCAAGCGAGCACAGTGCTCAGGAGCTCCGACTTGAGAGTCAGATCAATGAGGGTTTGAGTCCCGGCTCTGAAAAATGGGCACCCTGAAAGGGCCCATAAAACCACAGGGTTGTACGAGGACACAGGTGACTAGATGCACCCCGTCAGAGCCCGATGAGTAGAAGTTCTTATGAATAGGAGCTCCGAGGACCCCCGTAAATTGGGTCCAGAGCAGCAGCTCTGACGGACGCGGCCTCCCCGAGATGTTTCCCTCGGTTGTATTCAAATCGGGTAACAATGGGCCTGGCGTTCTGGGAGGAGCCGAGGGTGGTCCCTCAGATGCCGGTGGCCGGAGCCCACAGGGAAGTCAAACACCTCCTGGGCTGGACGTCTGCACCATGGACAGGGATCTGAGTGACAACGACAGTAAGTACAGCCGGGGGGACCTGGGGAGCTCACTTCTGTGGCCAGCACTGGCTGAAATCTTTCCTCTGGCCTCTGTGCTGTCTTGTGTTCTGGGTCTGTGTTGCTGAGAGCATCCTTCCTTCCTTCCTTCCTTTCGTGTGGAAAGCCCATTTGCAGCCTGCTAGCTGTTCTTCCAGTATGTGCCTCTGGGCAGTGCAGGAGGATGGTAACAACCAAGATGAGAACTTTCCTCCCTGACCATGGTAACCCCGTCCCAGTCTTGTATCCTTCAATCTTCCTTTCTCTGGCTGACCGTTCCCCAACCCCCTCTCGCCCCAGCCACATGTGAGCCTGAATACCACACTTGGGCTCAGTTCTGAGGTGAGGTTAATTTGAAAGACATTCCTGGGAGGTCTTTACTGGTGATCTTCCTCTTGCAAAGAGGGGCGTGTTCATTATTGCTCGAGAAACACAGTCCTGGTGACCCCAATGCTGTCATTCCTGGGACAGAAATACAATGGAATCTAAGGACTATTTAAAGAGATGAAGACAGAAATGGCATTTTATTTATTTATTTTAAAGATTTTATTTATTTATTAGAGAGAGAGAGACAGCGAGAGAGGGAACACAAGCAGGGGGAGTGGGAGAGGGAGAAGCAGGCTTCCCGCTGAGCAGAGAGCCCGATGTGGGGCTCGATCCCAGAACCCTGGGATCGTAACCTGAGCCAAAAGCAGACGCTTAATGACTGAGCCCACCAGGTGCCCCAGAAATGGCATTTTAGGAAGAAATGTGCCATGTTTAAAAAAAATGTCTGATCCTGAATTTGGAAGGGACAGTGTGTGGAAGAGTATCAGATTGGGGATTGGGAGGCTGGGGTTCGGGTCCTGGCTCTGCTATGAATTGGCTGTGTGATCTTGGGCAGGTCACTTAACCTCTCTGAGCCTCAGTTTCTCCATCTATAAAAGGAGATGGGTCAGGATTCCCTAATTTGAAGACCATGAAGGTGAGGGCAAAATGTTGTATGAATGTAGTTTTCTAGGGGGTGGGGGGGGGTCCTCAGCTTTCATTTGAATCCCAGAGAAGCTTGTGACACTAGTACATTTTCACGGTTCCCGAACTTGGGGACTTTGAAGGTCCTGTGCAGGTCCAGCTCTATTGTCTTTCAGTTTCAGAGCTGAAGTGGGATATGAAATAAGCCCATGTAAATCTAAGCAACGCATTTAAAATTTTGTTGGAATCCTTTTTCATATTGAAATGGGAGACTGTACAGAGATATTTTACCATGTATTTGAGCTGGACCTAATCTGATCTCTGATATATTGGAAATTGTGTAGTCATAATTTTATAAGGTTCTACTAATAATCAAATGCAATTTTTCTTCTTTGAAACACTGCCCATTATCAGTCTTGCAGTTTACAATAGGAGTTTCTTAGTAACAATGGGCTAAGTTGGATCTGGATTCAGATCCAAGCTCTGCCTCCTAATTGTTGGGTGACTTTGCTCAAGTCGCTTAACCTCTCTGGGCTACATTTCTCACAATAAAAACATAGATCATGTCATCTGGAAGAAGTGGTGAAAGATTAATTGGATGCGAAGTGCCTACAGCATCACTCAGAGTTGAGTAAGCATGGAATAAATGTTGACTCTAGAAAATTATCAGATTCTGTCTCCCAGAGCTTTAAAATTAAACTGCTATTAATGAAAAATACTATCACCTGCAGTGTTTCTATTTTGGCATCATGCCTTTTGGTAAGCCAGGTGAGAGTAAGGTTAACTCTTTAGTTCCCTTAAAATTCTAAAGACTCTGATTCTGTCATAGTGTCACCCTACATGCTGGTTTCCAATATAATCAAACCATAGGGTCTACTGCAAGGTATGAGATTGTTCAGAAAAGTTTTTAGAAACAATGCTGATGAACTCTGAAACTGGTCAGTATTTGTCCAGGTTTCGGAAAGGGAGCCTGCTATGGGACTTACATAATTGAAACGTCCCTCCTTAGGCGAGGGACTTTGTCCCAGGTGAGTTACTCCCCCAATCACGAAAATGTCGTCCCCTCAGTTTTTGAGTCCGGAATGTGGGCAGCTTTAGAGAGAGAATATCTTCTCCCAATGACACACTGTGGGACAGAAAGTGGGCATGGACAGAGACATTCTGGGATGTGGCGTCCACGTGGAAGTCAGCATGAAGGTCTCTTAACTCGGCCTTAGCTCTGACAGCATTCGGCTCATGGCAACACCTCCCGCCATTGGCCGAGATGCTTCCGGTGATGGGCCGGTCCGCCTTCCATAGCTGAGGCGGTCAGGAATTCTTTCCTACATTTAGCTGATCTCTCTTTCCCTGGCACTTCTACTCTTTGGTCTGGATTCTACAACCCCCCCATACCCCTGCCCCCAAGCTACTCAGAACAGGTCTGTTCCCTGTTTAAAATAAGAAGCCTTCCAAGTTTTTTCTTTTCGAGCATGACCAGGCCTTGTTTTTCCAGTCGGCCCAGATGTAATGTGGTTTCAATCACTCTTCTCTTAGAGGGAGATATCCTAGCCCAGAGACGAAGAAAAATCCCCTCCCTTATTCTAAAAATCATATTCCTTGTAATACAACTTATTTTATTACAGACTGAATCCCCTCCCAGAAATGGTGTGCAAGAGCCTCTTCAAGTCAGACGAGCCCTACCCCATAATTGGAGGAGGGGGCTGCTGTGATTCTGGACAATAGGACCTAGATGGCAACTCCTTACTCTTGGGCGCTGATAGCTGGGGACGGGGAGAAACGATCTGAAGCCACACCACTGGCACCATCAGTGACCCAGTGCTGAGGGATGGGACTCTTCCCCTGGTACCCCGGCCAGCTCTGTCGCCCAAAGACATTCTTTCGTGCCCAGCTCTGAGTTGGAGACCAGAGACTGGATGAAGCTGTCAGGGTAACTTGGTGGGAAAGATGCTGGACTTCATGGTAGGGGCCCAGCTTCCAAGGGCCTTGGTGACTGACCGTGGGGCTTTAGTGTATCTCGCACATCCCTTAGGAGGGAGGTACGGCCACCAGGAGTGCAGGCCCTCCCTGCCAGTTTGGCCCTGACCTCATGGGGCAACTCTTAATGGAAAGATAGAGTGTCCCTTTCTCTCGGTTTTCCCAAGTGCTCCTCCCACTGACTGTATTCCCTAAGCCCTGTTGTAGGGAAAGAAGACCAGGGCCCTAAAAAATAAAGTGACTTTCCCCCCAGACTACACAGTAGGCTAGCTATTTGGAGCTGTGCTCATGGATGGGGGAATAAGGATGAATGCACTGATCTACTTTTCAGGTGTTCAAAGCCTCGTGGGGGAGGCAGACCCCCAGCTGGACTTCTTCTAAATAATTCTTAGAAAGCTGTTTGGCAAAAGTGACAACAGAGTACGGAGGGGCACAGTGAGGGGGCAGCACCCCCAGGCAGGCTTTGTAGGACGTCAGGCCTGGGCTGAGTCAGGCTGAGGGAGTGGAGGGGGTGTGTCCTGGGCAGGAACAGCCCGAACAAGGCCTGGGAGAAATGGCACAGTACCCGTGCCAGGGTGAAGGCCAACATCAGTGTCCCGAAGTGACAAGCCAGCCCTTACACCCCCTTTGCCTTCCCTGCCCCGTGACCCTGTCTTGGCATGGTGACGCTTTCTACAAAGCAAGACTTACACATCCCAACTAATTGGACATTTGTTGTAACATTTGCCAGGTTGTCTCTTGGCATGCCAGAGGGGCCTGAAGAACTCCAAGGACAACTTCGCCCCGGCCTTCTCCCCGTTTCTCTTGATGCTGATCTCACTCCCATGGCGGGCCTTGTGTCTGCTCTCCCAAATATGTTCTCGTTGGCTCCCACCTGAAAGCTCCCACACGTCTCTCTCCTCTCAAGCCCCAAGGAGGCTTTTCTCTCTCCTCCCCCCTTTCTGCTCTGTTCTTTGTCCCCACCCCTCCCTGGCCACAGGGACTGTTTTCCCTTCTCTCACCTGTTCTGGGCAGCGTGGGGAGGTTTTTTTAACCTCAGCAGGGGAGGAGACTCCACAGGTAATATAGGGCCAGTTAATACAGGGCCTTCTCTGCTAAGGGCTGGAGCTTAGTTGTTAGCTGTGGGCTGTGGTGGGCGCCTGGGAGGCTCAGTCGATTGGGTGTCTGCCTTCGGCTCAGATCATGATCCTGGGGTCCTGGGATCAAGTCCCGCGTCGGGCTCCCTGCTCAGTGGGGAGTCTGTTTCTCCCTCTCCTTCTGCCGATTCCCCCTGCTTGTGCTCTCTCTCTCTCTCTCACTCTCTCTCTCTCAAAAAAAAAAAAAAATCTTAAAAAAAAAAAAGCTTTAGGCTGTAGTGAGCCACTGTGGTGTTTAAGAGGTGGGATGGCCTGGTCAGCCTTTCTGGTCTTGCTATGAAGACTCTTACATAATGTAGCCAATTATTTGTTCTTCTTGGCAAGCAAGACTCTTTTCTTTCTCTTGTGATCACCTGATTCTCCTGTTTTTATTACGTTAAATTATGGTAAAATACACGTAACACGAAATTTGCCATCTTAACCTTTTTTACCTGTGCTGTTCGGTGATATTAAGTACATTCCCATTATTGTGCAACTATCACCACCATCTATCTCCAGAATCCTTTCATCTCTAACCCCATTCAACAATTCCGCACTTGCCTCTCCTCTTTGCTCCTGGCCAACCCCGTCCTGTTTTATGTGTGTGTGGATTAGACCACCTGAGTCTCTCCTGTACCATTTTTAGTGCCATTCAAACCATAGTGTATTTAAGAGCACTGACTGTATGCAGGAAGGGGGGGGTTCTCTGTCTGAAAGGGACCCTCACGCCTGTTGGAGGAGACAAGGTAGGAAACAAAAGCAAGATGGCAGTGGGGCACCATCTGAACAGAGAGGTGGACCGATTTTAGTGTTTTTAAGATGATTAGTCCTGGAATCAGAGGCAGAAGATGTGGACTCCTTTTATCCTCAGAAATAAAGGGAATGGCATTTTAAAAAGAGGAAGTTAAAGAGGTTATCCATTAATTATACCTTGCTCCACAAGAAAAATTCCTTTCTACACAAAAGAAAAATTGCTGTGGCTGGTGAGCACTACCTTAGAGACGCTTCGCAAAGCTTTCTCAGCAACCACTTGATGCCATTTGCATGGAGCGATAGGGCGTTCAGCAAAGTGGAAAGGTCATTGGCTTAGAGTTAGGATCTGAGTCGTAAGTACTCTTTCTGGCTCTGCTGTGAACCTGTGAGCTCGTTGCCCCAGATCCCACCTCTGAGTCTCGTGCTTCCACAAAGCCGGGAAAACAGAAAACAGTGGTTGTCGTTAAATGCAGAACAAGATCACACCCGCACCATCCCTTTGTGAGCCACACGACACAATGCATGTCTTAGGGTGGGGTGGCCCAGCTGCAACTCAGCCCCGACCCTGTGGAAACAGTGATGCAGCTGGGGGGGCCCCCTTTGGAGTGCCCCACGCTGGGCGTCACACAATGACCCGTGACGTCCACGTTCCTGTTGTACCCGCTGAGATCTGCACAGGAAATGACGCATCTGCCTGTAGGTCAGCCCGGAGCCCTTTCTTTTTGTACATAACATAATGGTGAGATTAATTTAGTTCTGACGAATTACGACTGCCCTGCGAGGTCAGGGTGGCTCCTGGTTGATGGATGGAGCTCTGAGTTTCCCACCTCTTATTCTTCCCCTCTTCCTGCCTCTTTGTTTGGTTTCCAGCCAGACGTCGCAGCTGTATGGCATTTCTCTGTCTTCTAGCAGCGCAGAGTCTGGATGCCCCAGCAGACCCAAGACCTCAGGCTGGGCGGGGGCCTTCCCCGGGGAGAGGGCTGTGCAGGTCTTGCCTTTCTTTCTATGCTTGACATTTTCACCTCTGGCTTAAAGGAGCACAAAGAAAGAGGAAGACCCTCCCTCCTCAGGTCCAAGGCATTGACTGAGCATTTCTTGAATGCCAGGCTCGGGGCTATGAGCTGTGTGCACATTGTCTTATTAGATGGGAGCTAATATCATCTGTTCTGTTTCACAGCTTGGGGGCAGGGGCTTGAGTTCTGCAAGGATGTGTGGCTGGCACAGTATCGTGCGGTCCATGACTCAGACGTATCCGAGCCCAGGTTCCTAACCACCGTGCCTCAGGAATTCTGACTCCGGACAGACAGCCTTGGCTACAATCCAACCCTGACCTTTATCCTTAACGCTGATAACCGGGCTCACGGGAATTGCAATGACATGCACGGGCCCTGGTCCCAGAAAGGTTCAAATTCCAGCTTCCCTCTTTCTGACCCTCCCTCAAATCTACCCACGAGTGTCTAGGGCAGCGTGGGCAAAATAAGGCTCAAGGGCCAAGTCTGACCCACGGCCTGTTTTTGTCAAGTTTTATTAGCACAAAGCCATGCTTACGTAGTTGTGCATTATCTATGGCCGCTTTCAGCTGAGCTGAGTAATTGAAACAGACCGTATGGCCCGCAAAATCGACAGTATTTACTACTTGTCTATTTGCAGAAAAGGTTTGCCGATCCCTGGTGGCTAAAATAGCTGAAAATGCTAATCCACTTATCAGGAGCAAACAATGTTCAGAACCAAGATATGAATGATAATTCCCAATGAGTTATCATCTTGGGGACTTCAGTACACTTCAGCAGGCACCAGTGTGAAGCTTTGGGTTGACGTCCCTTTGCATCACACCCATCTCTACCCCAGGTCTCTCACCTGTTTCTGCACAGAGTCGTTTGTTTACAAAGATAAGCTTTCCTGCTAAGACAAGTACTCTCTACATCTATACACATTCATCTATTTCAGCTTCCTTTGTAAATTTCCTGCAAGGAAAAACTGTAGAGATGCGTATGCATTCCTTATTGTCAGAGGACTGAGACATTTCTAAGTTGGGGGGAGTGGAAGAATGAGATGGTTCATTTGTCTTAATGACCACCCCCCCCCAGTGTGCATGGCCGTGGGTTTCAGCATTCCTCCCCATCTGCCCTCCCACGTCCAGATAGCCCCAGCTGCTCCAACTTAGAATAGGATCTCCTGCTTCTTTTGGCCTCTGTTTTTATTAAACTTGAAAGGACAGGGCATATTATTTTTATTTTTGTAGAGGGAAAGAGTGCTAGGCTTTAAAGAGCTGAGGGAAAAAAAAAAAAAAGGAGGGATCTACGGGGTGAGATGGATCAGCTGTTGACCAGAGTGTGTTCAGTGACTTCATGCAGAGAGAATTACTTTCCACCGACCATTTATCAGCTTACCCTTTAAAGTCAACTTCCTGTAATCATACTGGCCACTGGAAAGACAGAGCTGAGGAGTTCTTGTCCCCCAGCTCGGGGGCTGCAGGGAGTGGGTTTATGGGGTGGCCCGTGTGCTGGAACTGGAACAAGGAGCCTCTAGCCTGCTCTGACTTCACTGCTGTGCACCCTAGGACTACTGGAGTAACCACTCTGAGCCTCAGACTCCTCATGTGGAGCAGAGTTAGAAGTCCTGCCTTCTGTATCTCCAGGTGGGAGGGTGGGGTGTAGCAGCAGGTGTGGGGTGATGCTTTATGAGTTGTCCAGCATTTCTGGGAGCCAATTCTTTTTTTTTTTTTTTTAAGATTTTATTTATTTATTTGACAGAGAGAGACAGCGAGAGAGGGAACACAAGCAGGGGGAGTGGGAGAGGGAGAAGCAGGTTTCCCGCTGAGCAGGGAGCCCGATGCGGGGCTCGATCCCAGGACCCTGGGATCATGACCTGAGCTGAAGGCAGACGCTTAACAACTGAGCCACCCAGGCGCCCCTGGGAGCCAATTCTTATTTTTATGCTTTCCTTCCTTGGAGACTCAGGGCTATGGGTATCTCTTTCATAGCCTGGCAGATCAAGTTGAGGGTTTTTATAAACTTAAACTTAAATCTAAAAAATTGAAGTATAATTAACATGCAGTGTTACATGAGTTTCAGGTGTAGAAGATGAGGTTTGAACAGCAGGTATGTAGTGAGTGATTCTTCCGCAGGGGCTGCCTCATGAAAAATACTTGGGAAGAACATGGGCTTTGGAGAACAGTGAGTCTTGGTTTGAACCCAGCTCCATCACTCATGGGCCTCATGATCTTGGGTGAGCCACAGCTTTTCTGAGCCCCGTCCCCCCATTAGGAGAATGGGGCGACAAGTGTCAGTTTGGGCCACCTGAGAAGCAGACACCCACTGGTGTCATTAGATGTGTCAGAGGTCCCTCAGAAACACATGCGAAAGGAAAAGGGCAGCGGGAGCAGGTGTGGGCCGAGACCGCCTGCAGGACCACACCGCAGGGGTGTATACCTGTGAGAGGAGAGTGGGAAGCAGGGCGCCTCAGACTGCGGTCTGGCTCCAAGAAAGTCTTGCTCAGGTTTGTGGGGAGTCTCAGAGCCAAGACTGCCCATTATGGGAAGCTGCATAAAAAAACCCACTGCGCACCTCAGTACCTTAAGACAGCCCCCATTTTATTATAGTTCATGGTTTTGTGCGTCAGGAATTTGGGCAGGACTCAGCTGATTCTTCTGCTCCTTGTATGATCCATTAGGGTCTGTCTTAGTCAGTGTGGGTTGCTACGACAAAACACCATAGGCTTCCTGGCTACTAGAAGCAAACATTTATTTCTCAGTTCTGGAAGCTGGGAATCCCAAGCTCAAGGCACCGGTAGACCCGGGGCTGGTGAGAGGCTGCTTCTGGCTTGCCGCCTGCTGCCTTCTCACCAGAAGCTCACAGGGCAGAGAAAGAAAGGGCCCGAGTCCCTTTCTTTTCCTGCCAGGGCACTAATCCCACCACAGGGGCTCTGTGCATGACCTCATCTAAACCTGATCACCTCCCAAAGGCCCCAACACGGAATACCATTCCATGAGGGGGTCAGGGCTTCGGCATATGAATGTGGGGGGCCACGGACCCGCAGTCCGTAACAGGGTCACTCAGGGGTACTCAGCGGGCAGCTGGCCTGGCCTGGCGGAGCCCGACGGCTTTGCTCATGTGCTTGCTGGCTCGGCAGGATGGTGGAGTGGCGGGAAGGCTGCGCTCTGCTGGGCTTCTCTCCATGTGGTCTTCGGGTCTCCATGTGGTCCATGTGGTCTCCCCGGTAAGGCAGCCTGATGTCTTACACAGCAGCTCAGGGCTCAAGAGGGCAAGAAGTAGAAGCTGTGGTCTCTTCATGGCTTCTGTCCACAGCGTTCCCTTGCGCGAAGCAGTCTCAAGCCTGCCTGCGTCCAAGACGAGGAGACACAGATGCATCTCTTGATGAGAAGCGTCTAAGCCTCTCTAATTCAGTCACTGTCCCCTGGGGTCCTGGGGTACGATCCTGTTTCTAAAGCATCTGTCATGGTGGTTGGCACAGAGTAGGTACCCAGCAAGCAGGAGTTGCCGTTCCGAATGTTTTTCTCACCAGGATTATTCATGCTGCTCCTATCACACCCCACCCATCCCTGCCTGCCCTGCAGATGGGTGCCCAAGTGAGACTGGCTTAAACTGTGAGCCTTTTCAATAACGCATTGTATGGAGGCTGGGTGCGTTATTGTATGGAGGCTGGGTGCGTTATTGTATGGAGGCTGGGTGCGTTATTGAAAAGGCTCACAGTTTAAGCCAGTCTCACTCGGGCACCCATCTGCAGGGCAGGCAGGGATGGGTGGGGTGTGATAGGAGCAGCACGAATAATCCTGGTGAGAAAAACATTCGGAACGGCAACTCCTGCTTGCTGGGTACCTACTCTGTGCCAACCGCCATGACAGGTTGTATGGTGACTAACATAACATAATAAAATTAAAAAAAAATAACGCACCCAGCCTCACTTGGCAGCTTCCGGTGAACCGCCCCTCCCTCTCTCTTTGCCACCCCCCAGAGGCTCAGGCCTGCCTTCCTCCCACAGGTGTGGTGGACCTTAGCTTCGAGGCCGAGAGTCCTCCGGCGCCCCCAGCCGAGCTCCTGGAGAGACTGACCAGCTGTGACTGGCTTCTTCAAGGAGGTGGTAAGTCTGTGAGGTCTTGGTTCCTGCAGCTTCTTCCTGGGGCTCATGCTGGTTGGGGGAGACGTCTCTGGACCAGGCCAGTGCTGGGATGGCTTGCCTCTCCTCTGGGGCACCCTGGGAAGCCTCTTGTCACCACTGGGGGGGGGGAATGGGAGGACATGGGGCATCAGCCCTGTGTCCACGAACATTCCAGGACCATATCCCTGTCTAAGACTGGAATCATGCTGGTTTGAGAACCATTCTTCTTGCATTAGCTACATTAGCATGTGGGGCTCTTTCCCTTTGTCTCATTCAGCCTCACGTTCAGCCAGTCTTTCCTTCTTTCGCCCCACAAACATCTGTGCCTTTGGGCTAGGCTGTTGAGCCCCTGCCCCCTCCCCTCTCCCCCAGGACAGCAGATATTCTTCCCACCTTTGGAGGCTCCCGGGAGACCCCTGGAACAAAGGTGCTGGTCCTCATTCATGGAACACAGGTGAGCTGGTGCCATCACATAGGATGTCTCCCTTGCCCCGCCCCCCCAAGAGCCCTCCTTGGGGATTTTAGGGTCCATGGACCTCAACCCTGCCAGGGCCTCAGGATCCCAGACCTGCTGGATCAGATTCTCCAGGGACAGAGGCCAGGAATGTGTATTTTACCAGGCTCCCCAGGCTGTTTGGCTACCAAACTGGGGTTGAGAACCAGAGTGTGGACCAGGGGTTGTAAACTGTAGCCCCGGGGGTCTAATCCAACCCACTGCCTATTTTTGTAAATCAAGTTTTATCAGAACAGAGAGCCACGCTCACTTGTTTGCTTACTGTCTGTGACTGTTTTTGTACTACACCAGCAGAAGGGGGTGAGTGAGGCAGAGACTGCACAGCCCTTGAGACCGAAAATATTTACTCTCTAGCCCTTCACGGAAGCAGTCTGTTGACCCCTGGGCCCAGAACTCTGGGCAGAGCGCCAGCTTTGTGCAGAGAGAAGGTGGAGCCCCGCTTTCTGGGTCCCGCCTCTTGGCTGGGTGGCTCTGTCCTGCTTCCAAGGAGTCTCCTGGGTGCTCCCGGCCCCACTGCAGCCTGGAGCGACTCCCCTTCTCCTCCCTGGCCGCCCACCTTCTGTGCCCAGGGCAGACCCCGCTTCCTCCGTGATGCCCTCTGGGCCGTTCTGGGCCCCACACCTCCTGCATGCACGCAGGCCCCCCGGTGCCCCAGGCCCGGGGTGCTGGAGACATCCCTGTGCATGAGAGACATCCCTGTCCTACTGTTCGGAGTCAGGCTGCTGTGGAGAAGTAAATGGAGATGAGAGGGAGGGGAAGGAGGAGGGGACTCCTGCTTCCGGTAGGTGTTGGCAGGGGAGGGCTTGGCTAGGAGGGGACATGGCAGCTGGGCCTCAGGGCAGGCTTTTCTAGGAGGACGGGGAGGCCTCCAAAGAGAGCGCCAAGGAGGTGGCCATTGGTTGTGCGCCCCTCACAGCCACAGCCGCTGCGGCCCAGCGGGCTCACGGTGCTCTCTGTGGGCCCCTCAGTCAGATAGCTCCCGGCCGGGGTCTTCCCGTGAACCCTGCTCACAGCTCCTCTGGCTGAGATCAAGGTCTCCGAGGGCAGGCACGGGGTCTAGCCTAACTTTGCCTCCTTCTAGCTGTGTGACATCTTCTGCAGACCTCAGTTTTCCTCATCTGTAAAATGGCCTAATTCATGTTTAAATATGTGTGTGTGTGTGTGTGTTTGAGTTCTGAGATTCTCTCAGCCTTTCTTGTGAGCCCTGCGCTTTAGCTAAAGAAGTTTTACTGTCCTCTGGAAAGAACTGTGTTCCTGCTGCGGGCGTCTGTTCACACAGCTCCCTGTGCCAGAGACGCCCGCCCCAGATGGAGCCCTGAGTGCTTTCCCACCACGGTGGGCCGCAGCCAGGCCCTTCCCTTTCTCCCGGCCTCGGTTAAGAGCGGGCTGGCTGGCCCGGCGGAGCCTGGAGGCCCCTTCCAGAGACCCTGCTTCTGTGCTCTGTCCCCAGCAGAGTCCCCATGGTGACAGAGGAAGTGGCTCGGGAAGCCCTCCTCAGCTTTGTGAGCTCCAAACGCTGCTATGGCCGCGCAGCCGCCGGTGACCTCGTCATCCAGAAGCTCAAGCAGCAGACCCTCTGCAGGGTAAGGGGGCCTGGGCCTGGCGGGCACCCTGGGGCACCTCAGGCATTAGGTCCTGGGTGGGGGGTGGCTTGTGTGATGGCAAACGGGAGAAAGGAGTCTTGGGGGGGGGTGGCGCGTATGAAGAGGGTCCATGGACCCTGAAGCCTGAAGCCCTTTGTGCCGCTTCTCTGGTCTGTGGTCCGCTGAAAAGCTCGAACGTGCTGGGCATCGTGGGAAGCACATCACATATATGTCATATGAAGTCCTCAGTGGCTACCCTACATGGTAGATATGACGGTCACCTGTTCAAGGGCGAGGAACTGGAAGTTTAGAGAGGTGGAGTTACTTGCCCCCAACGTACAGCTGGGAGTGACAGAGCTAGGACTCTAACTGGGGTTTGCTGGCCCAAAGTCCACGTCCTTAACACATGACTAACCTGCCTCCAGCAGGGGTGGGCCGAGAAAGCTCCATGTGGCCCCCTTGATCCCCCAAGTCACATCTGTGCCAAGGAATCATTAATTCGTTACCCTTGGGCCTGAAGCTCCAGGGAGAACCTGGTGCTGAGGCCACCACAGGTACCTGTGTCACCTGAGGCCACCGGTACCTGTGTCACCTGAGGCCACCGCAGGTACCTGTGTCACCTGAGGCCACAGGTACCTGTGTTACCTGAGGCCATCGCAGGTACCTGTGTCACCTGAGGCCACCGCAGGTACCTGTGTCACCTGAGGCCACAGGTACCTGTGTCACCTGAGGCCACCGCAGGTACCTGTGTCACCTTCTGCGTTGACTGGGCCATGGGACAGGTTTGGAGTCCACACTTTCCAGTGTCACTGGCACAGGAGAGCGTACGGTCCCACCAAAGCCACACAAGCCTCGCAGGGAGCGCTTAGGACAGGAGGCTGGCGGAAGAAGCGCCTGTGTAGCTGTGTGAACTTGGGCAAGTCAGCCAGCCTCTCTGAGCTCTGTCTCCTCCAGTGTCAAAGGAGGAGCCAGCTGGTGTCTAAGACCCCTTCCTGTTTTGTGATTTTTGTGGAGGAGCTCAAGAAGGAGGCTCTTGACATCGGGCAGAAAAATTCCTCCGAAGAGGACGTTTGGAGAAGCAGACTCCATCGGTCTCCATCTATCAAAGGGCAGTTTTGCTGCTCCGCAGCTTGCCTTGTAGAACATTCTGGGTATAAAGAAATGGAGGGCTGAAACCACCCCAGTGTGAGCCTGTCAGGAGAGATTTCCTGGGGCTGACTGATCTCCCCGCAGACGTCTGGGGGTGTCTGGAGCAGAAATCGTCGTTGCCAGCTTCTTCTCAGCAACCTGTGGTGCTGGGAGTGGGGCCTGTCGATTTCCCCTCTGAGGCTCAGCAGGTGGGAAGCTTCTTCGTTTTGTATAATGTTGTCTTCCTAACGGGCATGAGTGTGAACATGCTGGGCTTTTTTCCCTCTGTAGTATCGACTAGAGACTTTTACCGAATCCAGAATAAGCGAATGGACATTTCAACCCTTTACTAGTAAGTGAAATCAGTTTAATTGGGAGCAAATCTGATAGGGGCTGGTGGAAAATAGCAGGACACGTCTTAGCCACTAACCCTGGATAAGATGAGCTTCTGCTGGCAGCCTCAGTTTCCCCATCCCCTGGAAAAAGAGAGGGTGAGCTTTCATCTTGGACTTTCCAGCACTGATCTCAGCAAATCCTTCCTGTCTGGGAAGTGGTTTGCAGAAAGTCTAGTGTTTGCCTTTGGTCACAGACAAAGGCAGTGTGTGTGCTTGGGCATCCGCCTGCCTTTGAGGCCAACTCCAGTGCCTCCCAGAGTCCCTAGGACCCTGTTCACTGTGCCATCCCACCTGCTGCTGAACCCCGCTTGGAGGCTGAGGGTTCTCCCTGGGGAGCCCTATGTCCTTCTTTCTCTGATGACCACTCTGGTTCATCCTTCAAGACTCAGCTCCTGTGTCACCTCTTTCATGAAGCCTTTCAGGATTTCTTCACCTGCTGACACTTTCCCCAATAGAAGGAGCCAGTCTTCTGAGTTTTCAGAGCCTTTATGCAGCTCTGGTCCAAAGCTCTCTGCATATCCTATGACCTCGTATGGTGGTTGCCCCTGTCGTATCTCCTTGAACGGAGGAGGGGGGAGGAGAAAGAAGGAGGTGGGGATGGTCACGATAGTGATGGTAGTTCTTTTTTTTTTTTTTTTTTAAAGATTTTATTTATTTATTTGAGAGAGAAAGAATGAGAGACAGAAAGCATGAGAGGGGGCAGGGTCAGAGGGAGAAGCAGATTCCCTGCTGAGCAGGGAGCCCAATGTGGGACTCGATCCTGGGACTCCAGGATCATGACCTGAGCCGAAGGCAGTCGCTTAAGCAACTGAGCCACCCAGGCGCCCCAGTGACGGTAGTTCTTGTTATTGATCCCTCTCAGGGGCCAGCCCGGTGCTCAGCATTTCTATGCCTTCTATTTAATTTTCACTACCATCCTATCTGGTGGGTACCCTATATTTATCTCATTTGGGAGAGAAGAGAGTTGAAGGTCGGAGAGGTAGAGTAACTTGCCTGGAGTTACACAGCTAGGAAGTGGAAGAATCAGGAGTCAATCCAGGTCTGTTCAACTCCCAACACTTGGGTGCTTAACCATGAACTCTGAGGGGCTCCTTGTCTACCCGTTCCGTAGCCCAGGATCTTGCCTAATGCCTGGCGTCAAGTGAAAGCTCTGTACTATTTGGTAAATAAATGAAAGCTTGTCCTTGCAGCTGTTCACTGGCCTTACAACGATCCCTTTCTATATCAGACCAGTCAGTGGATGGGCCACAAAGAGGGACCTCCCCCAGGCTTTGGGACATCAGGGTCCAGGTCCCCCCGATGTTTCAGGAAGACATGAGGAAGTTTCAAGTCCCTCACTCGTCACTGGTCAAGGTAACGTGATTGTTGGCATCTTTGCCCTTCTCTCTGAGCTGCTTTCCCAGGCACTGTATATTTCCTCAAACTTTATCTTTTTAGAAAGGAAACCCAGAATGCAGACCGGTGGTTCATTCCTTGGCTATCAGCAAGGCGAACTCTAAGGAAACCCAGAGTGTGGAATATAGACCCATACAAAATTCCATGCAAATTAGGGAGTAGTCACATAGCGAAAGGATGATTCCATTTACCAAACTGTCACCAGCTTTAAACAGTGAGTGTTCACATTCCTAGACCATCTGAGTGTTTTTAATTTATTTTTGTTTATTTTTGCCTGACAGTAAACAGCTGAAGTGATGAATGAAACAGATATAAAATAAAGCTCAAACATTATTTGGATTTTCAGCAAAGTCAGTAAAGGGACAGAATTTGACTTCTGTCCCATTTTATGGAAGTATAATCATGACACGAGGCGAGGCATGTATTACAATGTATTACAAAAGCACAGATGAGATATTTCCTATTATGTTCTCATTTTCACTTTAGAACTTGATTCAAGCATGTAACTTTCCCCTCTGAGTTTTCGTAGCATCATATGATGACGAGGACTTTGAGAGGTCCAGAGCAGGTTCCATTCTTTTCTCAAGAGTGGAAAGGCTATTTTGATTCAGGGATTAGATTCCAATAGCTAACTCTTTGCCTTTCACAGAAATGCTGTGCATTTTTTTTATGACTTCCATTCCCAAAGACCTCTTAGCTATTCAGTGGGCCAAGGACACCGGCCTTTGTGGTTTAGCCTGGGACCATGAGTTAGGACATGGAGCTTGGAGAAAAGACTGGGCTGGGGCCCCGAAGAGATGGTAATATGATCTCCTTGGTTTGGCATTCAAGGCCCTGTGGAATCCTAGGCAAATGAGAATGGCCGTCTTCCCGTGCTGGGCCTGGGACTGGGGATGCCATGGGGTGGGTGTGGGGCTGGTGAAATCAGGAGGCGTTGGTGCTTGGGAAACTGGAGCCAAGGAGAGCTTTTCACTTCCAGGGATGCCACAAATGTCGTGGGCGTGGGTGTTACAAATGCAGCGGCTGCCATGGGGCCGGCATGGTGAGTCCTGGGTGGCTGCTGGTGAGTTAATGATCTTGGGGGAGGAGGGCCCCTGCAGGGATGGAGGGCTGGGCTGGGGGCCCGGGGCTCCTCCACTAACAGTGTGACCTGAGGCAAGTCATCCTCCCTTTCTGGGCCTGTTTGCTCACCTGTAAAATGGGAAAATTGGATTGGGCATTTGCTACTGGCCTTTGTTCACTTCGATGGTTTATGGTTCATCATTTTAATTCTTGTCTCTGTTTCTCATCTGTCTGCAAACATTTGTTGAGACTGAGTACCCGCTCAGTGCTGGGCCCCTGTAAGAGGACTCAGACCTGGGGGCCTTCCCACCGGGGACCCTCTGTCCTTGGGGAAGACCGACAGGTGACCAGCACATGTAGTATTCGGTGATGAGTCTGAGAAGGTGAAGTTCAGGGGGCTTTGAGGGCCAGAATACATGGGGGCCTTGAGTTAGTGCCCTAGGGCTTCTGTAATAAATTACCACAAACTGGGGGGCTTAAAAGAAGCGATATTTATTCTCTCACATTTCTGGAGGCTGGGAGTCCAAAATCAAGGTGTGAGCAGGGTTGGTTCTTTCTGGAGGCCCTGAGCCACACTGCTGGCTTCTGGCAGTCCCCAGTCCTTGCTGCACCACTCCATCCTCTGCCTCTGTTGTCACGTGGCCTTCTGCACGTGTGTCCTGGGTCTCCTCAGGCGTCCTTGTGAGGGCCCACCCTAGTCCAGCATGACCTCATCTTAACTAATGACACCTGCCAAGACTCTTTCCAAATAAAGGCACATTCTGAGGTTCTCTGGTGGATGTAAATGGTGGTGGTGGTTGGGGACGGGGGAGACACTGTTCAACCTAGTACAGGTCCCTAAGTTCACAGCCAGGCTCTGGAGCCATCAGCCTCCTCTTCAGAACCCTTCAGGGCTGCTGACCTCCCAGGAGGAAGCCCACGCTCCTCACATGTCCTCCGCTCTCCCCCTTCGCTCTGATGTTTTAGACACACATTGACCACTTGCCACTCTAGGCCACGCCTTCCTCCATCCTTCTCTCTGCCCACCTGCCCTGCCACACTTTGGACGCCCACCTTACCCCTGCTGTGTACGTTCCTCCGCCTACTCATGTGCCACCTGTGGGGCCCTTCTGTCACCTCTGCCTTCACTCCTGCCATATGCCTCCTTCGGGACTTCTTGGAGGCCCTCCCTGTGGTCTTTTGTGTTCCTCCCTCCACCCCTGCTCTCCTTCCTCCCCACCCTCCTCCCTTAGGCTTTTCCTGGAGTGTCTCCGCAGTCCACTCTGAGCCAACTGTGGGAGCGTAGCCTTGGGGCCTTTCCAAGACTGAGCTCCTCATCCCCAACTCAGCCTGTCCCTCTTCCCAGTCCCTCTGGCCATGGCCGTTTGGTCAGGGTGCAGTCTCAGGGGTGGTGGGGACCCAAGAGGAGCAGGGGAGGATGGTGTCTCAGGAGAAACACAGAGGCGAGAATGTAGCATCTTTGAAGGCTACAGCTGGAGGGGCCCAAAGGTCCACAACATTCACCCCTCCCACCTTCCAGCTGAGGGAGCGGAGGCCCAGGGAGAGGAAGTGGCTTGTTCAAGGTCACCACATTGGGATTTGAAGCGGGTCTCAGGATGCCCTTTGCCCCTCTTCCCTGGGAGGCCAGCGGGGGCTGAGGCTCTGCTGTGTCCACAGGTGAGGTGCCCATCCTGCAGCGGAGCCAAGCGCAAAGCCAAGCAGTCCCGCAGGTGTCAGCTGTGCTCGGGGTCTGGCCGGCGGAGGTATGAGCGGGTCTCCCCAGCACCGAGGTGAAGGGCTCTCACTTACCAGCTTTCTTGCTTTTCATCATCTGCCCTTCTGGAGGGCAGTCAGGTGCCCTGTCTTGTCACTCTTGTGCCCCAGAGCGCTGTGCCTAGCAGGTGCTCAGTAAATATTTGTAGAATGGGTGAACTCTCTTCCAGGCTTGCTATTTTGAGATGAGACTAGGACTCATCCAGCCATCTATGGGTCAGATGTAAGGAATGAGGCACTGTGGAGAGGAAGGGAGGAAGGAGGGGAGACTTCTTCCTGCTCACATGGTAAGGAAATGAACACAGAAAACCAGATCTGTAGGTGAGATCTGTAACTCTCTGAGGATCAGGACCTAGGCAAACCCTTATTTATAACTCATTGCAGGGCTTGAGTGGAGGAGTCAAGGAAGGTTGGTTGACTGACTAAATCAACAAAGTTCCATCTCTGTTCACAGGGCTTTGCAAATACTGGGTCATTGCATTTTGTAAATCATGTCCTTAATGTATTTATAAATCTTTAAAGGGAAACAGGAAACCATGAGGAGTGAGACTATTCAGAGTTGTGTTGGTTAATGATACTTTTGGTTCATTGAGGCCCAGGCCATCCTTCTAAGAAGCCAGAGAGCAAAGCTTTGGCAGACCTGCCACCTGTGGTTGGTAAAGAAGGTCTTTGATTTGGAAAGAAGCTCAGGTTTCTTTTGTTTACAAGTGAAAGAATCCTATTTCAAATGAGCTTAACAAAAAAAAATTCTGCCCTTGTAACAGAAAAGTCCAGGATTATATTTCTGGGATGGCTTCAGGTTCAGCTGGATCCAGGTGCTTAAACAATGTCACCAGGACTCTGTCTCCATCCCTCACTCTGCTTTCCTTTGTTTTGGCTTCATTCTCAGGCAAGCTGTCTCTTGTGGTGACAGAGGGGACAACCAACAGCTCCAAGCTTAGTAGCCTCAGTCAAAAAGCATATGCCTTTGCTGATAGCTTCACAAAAATTTCGAGGGCAGATCTCATTGCACTTTCCAGGGTCATGTACTCATCTTTGTGCCAGCCCCTGTGGCCGGACAGATGGAATAAGCTGATGGGCCAAGCCCACGTCCCAAGCTGGTCATAGAAGGGGTGGGGGCAAGCCCACAATCCATGTGGTCAGGGTGGGAAAAGGGTGGTCTCCAAAGGGAAACTGGGGCATTGCCACCAGAAGCAGGAGGTCTAGATGGTGGGCAGGTGGAAGCAATTGAGGCTCACCTTAGTCCACCTCTACGAGGAAGGATTTGGGGTGAGCCCTCGAGGAGCTGCCAGGCCCCCCCCGACTACCCACGTGCTGACCACGTGCCCCTCTCAGGTGCAGCACCTGCTCAGGGAGGGGCAACAAGACCTGTGCCACCTGCAAGGGAGAGAAGAAACTGTTGCACTTCATCCAGCTGGTCATTGTGTGGTATGTGGCAGTGTCTCAACGCTGTGGCCCAGTGGGGGTACCCGGGGGACGTGGCCTGGACTGGTTCCTGCGGAGAAACTCCACTTGGCTGGGGCTTTCACAGTGCAGGGACCTGTGCCGGAAGAAAAGGGCTTCAGGTGCCTTGGGAAGGGGAGAGGCCCCTGGGTCTGAAATCCCCGTGTCAGGTGTCAGGGGAGGCCCCCAGGCATTACGGGGTTCTCCTGTGGGGCACCGTGCGAAGCACTTCACAGGTGAGGACCGAATGAGGTAATAGAACAGAGCTGTCAGTACTTTACCGGTTTCCCATGGTACAGATGAGGATGCTAAGGAGCTTGCCCGAGGTCCCAGCGGTAGGAATGCAAGCCCTCCAGCCTGTGTTCTTCACCCCACACACCGTGTACTCCGTTCCTCATCCTCTCCACTTCCAGGAAAAACAGCCTGTTTGAGTTTGTGTCTGAGCACCGACTGAATTGCCCTGGGGAGCTCCTTGCTAAAGCCAAAGGAGAAAGCCTCTTTAAGGATGAAAGCACCATGGTAAGGAGGGCTTCCAAGACCATCACAAGGGAACCTGGGTTCTCCCCTCACTCCTGTGAGGGCTGCTTCTCATGGAAAGACAGGCTGGGCGGGAACAGTGCTGCTGAGCAGGGGAGAACCTGCTGGGACCCAGGGGGGCCAGTTCTCTCTCGAATTCCACATGCTCGACCCCTCCCTTCCTCCTTCCACACCCTGACATGAACCTTGAGACCCTCCTCTCATACTAGGCACTATTGTAGGCCCTGGGGATACCATAAAACAAAACCCTTGCCCTCATAGATCTCATAGTCTGGTGAGGGAGAAGGTAATAATATTTCACCCCAATGTCAGATGGTGGCAAGGGTCACGGAAAACGTGCAAGCAGGGGAAAGAGACAGGAATGGGTGTGGGTTCAGCTGGGGCCTGGGAAGTGACACTGGGCTAAGACCCGAATAGTGCAGTGGGGGAGTGGACCCTGTGGGCTCTGGAGCCAAGGTGTCCAGCAGAGGGAGCTGCAGAGGGAGGCCTTGAGGAACAGCAGAGGGCAGTGGGACAGGAGGGATGTGAGTTGTGCAGAGCAAGGAGCTAAGACATGAGACATGCCAGTGGTCCTTGGCCCTTGGCCTGCTTTTGTAAATAAAGTTTTATTGGAACACAGCCATGCCTGTTTGTTTACATATTGTCTGTGGCTGTTTTCCTGCTGCAAGGGCAGAGTCGAGTAGTTGAGACAGGGACCCTGTGGCCTACAGAGCCTAAAATAGTTACTGTGTGGCCCTTTATAGAAGAGATTTGCCAACCTCTGCTGTAGACCTTGGCAGGGAACTTGGCCAAGAAGCGTTGGACGTCTGAGAGGGCCTGTTTTCTCTAAGAGGGTCAGGTGCTCAGCCTCCTTTTTTTTTTCTCCCTCTCTCTTTTCTTTCTTTCTTTCTTTCTTTCTTTCTTTCTTTCTTTCTTTCTTTTTTTTTTTACAGTAAGTAGCCTTTTCAGATTGGTTTTCTTTCACTTTATAGTATGTATTTTTAAAAATTGAGGCATAATAACATACATTATTTTCAGGTGTACAGCACAGTGATTCAATATTTGTATGTGTTGTGAAATGATCACCACAATGTCTAGTTAACATCCCTCACCACACACAATTTTTATTTTCTCATGATGAGAACTTTTAGGATCTAGACTCTGAGCAGCTTTCAAATATACAACACAGTACTATTAACTGCAGTTACCACGTTGTACATCAATCACATCCCTAGTACTTACTTATTTTATAACTACATTTGTACCTTTTTACCCCCTTCTCCCATTTCATACCCCACAACCAGCAATCTGTTTCTGAATCTATGAGTTTGTTTTTTAGGTGCCACATGTAAGTGAGATCATACAGTATTTGTCTTTCTCTGATTTATCTGCTTTAGCATAACGGCCTCAGTGCCCATCCATGTTGTCGAAACTGGCAAGGTTTCCTGCTTTTTTATGTCGGAATAATAATCCTCAGCCTCCTTTCTTTGCCCCAGTCAGTCTGGCTCAGCTGGGGCATAGCCCCTCAGGAAGGCCCACCCCCCCACCCGAGTCAGAGAGCAGCAGAGGGGTGCAGGGTAAGAGAGTGGGCTGCAGGTGAAGGAGTGCTTGGTCCACAGCCCCCCTTTCTTGGTGCATAATCAAAGCCCCCTGGAGGTTAAACAATCCCCAACCACTCACTGGGTGGCCTCGGGCCCTCCCCTGTCTGGGCTCGTTTTCCATCCCTGTGAATCAGAGCTGCAAGGCTCCAGGTGCTGACAGCCTCAGGCCAGCGAGGCGGGCTGTATCTCTCCTGCAGGTGTACCCCATTGTGGATTTCCCGCTGCGGGAGATCTCTCTGGCCTCCCAGAGGGGCATTGCCGAGCACAGTGCTGCCCTGGCCTCCCGGGCCCGAGTCCTGCAGCAGGTGAGTGGGGTGGGGACTGGGGGCTGTTGGGAGGCTTCTGGGGCCGGACTAGGGCTCGGAGGGTGCTGGCCCTCTGGTCACATGAAGGAATGGGCTGTTCCCTTTGCTGGAGGGCCCCCTCCAGAGAAGGGAGGGAAGGCGCCAGCTAGGGGAATGGTGGAGGAAAGGAGCCCTGGCTTAGGAAGGGGGGTCAGGGGGAAGTACTAGAGACTGACCAGAGGCCCATGTGTCCAGAGGGCAGAGAGCAGAGCAGTGTGGGGCCTCAGGGGCAGGCGGGACCACTGGACATAGAGATTAGGATTCTTATCCTGAGAGCAATGGGAAGCTATTTATTCTCGGGTTTCAAGCAGGACTGTGGCTCAGCGTGATTTTGACTCTAACCCCGTGTGTTAGAATCGTCAGAGAGGGAGAGGGAAAGTTCAAGACTCGGGGTCGTAGGCAAGTCTGGGACCCGGAGTCCTGCCCCTCAGGAGCACTTTCTGTCGTGGGCAGGGACGGCTTCGGGCCAAGGGGTTGCTTTGGTGCTGTGTTGGGATGGCCACTAGGTGGCGGTGGTGCCTGTTACGGCTTTGAGTGGTCATGGCAGCAGGTGGCTGGGGGCTGGGGGAGCTGGGGGTTTGGCCAGGGAATGGCCAGCGCCGGAGCTCCTGAGTCTTTTAGACTGGGCTTAATTCCTGGTTTTCCTGTGTCTCAATGTGGTCCTGGGCCAGGTACTTCCTTCTCCCTGAAGTCCGATTTCTCACCAGTGTTTGCACCACCTCGGGTTTTGGTAGAGATGCAGTACTTTAAATGCCTGGAACCTGGTGCTCAAAATGTCCCTTTTCCCTCTGGTCCCTTTGCAATAAGTATTTCCCCTTCTCTCTCTGCACGTCTCCCCTGTCTGCAGGAGAGAGAAGGATGCACTTATTAAAAAGTAATGATGACCATCTTGGAGCGTCAATGGGCCTCAGAAATCACGGATTTGGGGCACTGCAAACTCAAAGGCCTGCCACTGCTGGGTAGTAACATGGGTGGGAGAGCCGCCTTATCCAAAGGGGTGGGTCACCACTCATCCTTGTGTAGGCAAAAGGGCAGCGATTTCAGACCTTCTGAGACCCCAGATTTTTATATGGAACCTTCCAATTTTTCAATATTGAGAACAAAAATTTGAAAACGCTAGGAATACTACATGGGCTGACGGGTTGGCTCTGGCCTGTGGGCTGTTGTCGGCTACCCCTGCCTAGCCCCAACCCATGACGTTTCCAGTAAATCAGAGGAAGCTCGGGGAGTGGAAGTAATTTACCTAAAATCACACAGCTGCTTAGTGGAAGAGCCCAGGAGCAGAACCCACTTCCTAGCTCCAAGCCAAATGTCGCTACTCACTGCGTTCAAGATACACCAATCCTTGAGAGGCAGTGCAGGTTTACCGGGGTCTCCGCCGAGGGGGATCTGGGGCCAGACACACCGCAGGGACAGTTCCTGTCCCAGGTTGGCACCCGCTTGTGGTTCCAAGCCACGCTCTTCCTTTTTAGGGCCTCAGTGTCCTCATCTGTACAATAAGCTGGGTTGGACGTTGCCTTAGGTTGGGGTCTGCAGAAGCAGCTTCGAGACGAGAGCTTGTGTGCAGGACATTTATGAAGAAAGGGCTCCCAGGAGAAACCTGTCAAGGAGGTGGGGGGGGCGCAGAGCCGGAGGGGCAGGGGTCACAGAAGGGCGCAGTGTGATGAGGGTCAGCTCGCTGCCCCATCCCACAGGAGCTCTGAGCACCAGTTACACCTCAGCAACGGTGTGCCTGGGGCTGAGGAAGCTGGCCTCGTGTTGTTTGGTTGTGCTCCCTGTGTGCGAGGGGGGTTCTGTATCTCAAGGACAGGACCCTGCAGAAGAACGATGGGCTGTGAGTAGCAGAGAAGAAGCAGATGTGCAGGAATGTGAGGCAAGAACTGTGTCCACAGAAGCCCCCAGAGCATCACCCCTGTGGGACTTTGTTCTTGCCTCACTAGTATTAATGGTGTGGGTCACACAAAGAGCCCCCAACATTGGGGTATTGACTCCAGGAATGGGAAGAAGATAAGGGCCTGACTTTAGCAGCTTGCAGGCACTCGCAGTTATTCTGGGATTCTTTTACTTCTGAGACTGACCATCTGATTTTGAGCCCTTGATTTGGCAGCTGGGGCAACTGAGGCTGAATAGGGGAAGTGAGCTGCCTGAGACCACACAGTGTGTCTGTGACAGGCCTGGATCTTCGGGGGCTCTCCCCTACAGGACAGTCCTGTCTTGGGCAACACAAGCCCCCTGTGAACCAGTCCCGGAGCAGGGAAGGGTAAACCTGGGGCAGGTGGGCAGATTTTGTTAAAAGAGAGTGCCATGGGAGAAAAGGGCTCTTCTATGAATCTTTCTGGTCCTGCATTTGTAGACAAAGATGCATGCTGATATTTTGTTCAGGATTGAGAAGTTAGCGAGTGGAGTCAGCCTGAACACACACCTGTCATGACACTGTGCCCCCCCCCCCAACCCCCATTGCTCTCAGACCTGGAAACTGCTCGTCCTGGGGGGTGCCAAGGTGTGCCAACAGATCCGTGGCTGATTACAAGGCAGCCACTTGATGGCAGCTGATGTCCTAACCAATCTGTAGCCTTTTGAATCAGAAGCAAATGGAGACCGGAGGGGGTGGTATTGTTGTCCCTTTTGATTCTGGCAGAAAAGGTCGGAAAGGATCCTGCTGCCCAGGCACTCAGAGCAGTGATGTGGGCTCCCACCTTTTCTTGTCTCTTGGTGCCCATCTTGTGTCTTCCATAACAAAATATCAAAGAGGGGTCTTCTGCCTTTGATTTCCAAAATTATCACTTAGACACCACTTTCTGGCATATGGGAAGTCCCTGGATCTCATTTGGTGATCTCAGCAACTCTGTGGCATAGAAGCTTTTATCCCCACTTCCTAGAACAAGCAAGTGCAAGATCATGCAGGGACCTTCATGGAAGAGGCACTTCTTGACTCTGAGTACCCGCTTCCTGCCACAATGTCACACTGCCCTTCGGCTGCCCCTCCCGTGCAGTGGGGAGCCTGTTTCTCAAAATCCCCTGCCCAGCCTGTTTCCCTTTCCCCGGTGGCCTCTGGACCATCACCTACCGAGAGAGGACTTGGAACTGTTCCCAAGGAATGGAACTTCCTGAAGTTAGACCCTCAGAAGGTCTAATCCTGGGCTGTCCACATCACCTCCCTCTGGGCTTGGGGACCACCTAGATGTGAGTCTGGGACAAAGAAGCATCTTGTGCAGAAGAACTTTGGCATTTTGACGCAGAGCCTGGACCATGGGACGTGCCCAAGGAAGCTTAGCTTCAGCGATGGGGAGTAACTTTCCTACGTCAGCTGTACGTAGCTCTCCCTAACACAGCAGCACCCGAAGCTGATGGAGGCGCGTGTTTCAGTAGAACGCCAGTGTTCTCCTCCCAAGGTGGTCTGCCATGTTCCATTCAGGGTCCTGCAGTTTGGGAAGGTTGTAGAGTAACTGCTCAGAGAAGGGGCCGGAGCATGAGGGGCTTTAGGACCCCTCTGCTGGGGGCAGTGACTGCCCCAGGCTCTTAGGTACAGGGTGGTGCTGGGAGGAGACTTGAGCATTAAACATATGGGGCTTGACCTGGATGGTCTTCCAAACCTGAAATTCCATGAGCCTACGGCCCTCAGTTTCTCCATTTCTTTTTTTTTTTTTTTAAAGATTTTATTTATTTATTTGAGCCAGAGAGAATGAGAGAGAGAGAGAGAGAGAGAGCACGAGAGGGGGTAGGGTCAGAGGGAGAAGCAGGCTCCCCTCTGAGCAGGGAGCCCGATGCGGGACTCGATCCCGGGACTCCAGGATCATGACCTGAGCCGAAGGCAGTCGCTTAACCAACTGAGCCACCCAGGCGCCCAGTTTCTCCATTTCTAAAAGAGAGGGAGGGTTTGAGAAAGACCTCTCTCAAAGGAAGGTCAATGCAAGACCATGGTGAGGGAGGGAGAGTCCTGAGAAAAAAAAGCCTGAAGCGGACCACCAGATTTTGGAATTTCTTTGGTGTCATTGTTTTACCTTAAAATTTAATTCAAATTGTATAATCGACTCCCTAATATCTCCATGGCTGTATTAATATAGAAATGCTTAAAATGGCTTTATCTTCCACCTTTCTCTGCCCTTCCTCCCCATCTAAAAAGTAATGCTTCTGAAAGATGTCCCATTTGGCTGGTAGCTTACCATACATCCTGGGACGCCCCTGGGGATGACTGTGCCCCCACTTTGTGAAACATATCATCAGATGGTGGCTAATGCTGAGAAGTCCGTTTGGACCAGAGCTTAGTGTGTGTGAAGGGGAGTAGTAGGAGACACACCTGGAAAGGCACATGGGAGCCATAATGCCCACTCCAGAGCGTGAACTTCATCTCCTAGGAAGTAGGGAGCTACTGAAGGTTCTTGAGCAGGCAAGTGACCTGAATAGAACACTGAAGTTTTTCTTGGCCAATTGCTTCCCCAGCGCCAGACCATCGAGCTGATCCCCCTCACAGAAGTGCATTACTGGTACCAAGGACGGACTTACGTCTACTACATCTATGGCACAGACCACAGAGTGTATGTGGTTGATTACCCCGAGCGGTACTGCTGTGGTTGTACCATCATCTGACGTGGCCCAGCCACCTCCAGAGCCAGGAGGACAAATGAGGTCCCGGAGTTTGCTCGTCATTGGCTGCATCCTATACAAACCCCGGTGTGTCCTTCTAGACAATTCAGCTTATCATCTGTCAAGCCACAGGTCTTTCCAGAGTTCCTCTGGGGGGATCCGTCATGTGTTTAACCTACGAGAATTCAGCTACACACATTTTTTGGGAACAAATAATTTAAGCGGCTGGGGCCATGCCTCTGGTCTCCAAGCTAACGTCCTGCCCCGCTAGAGCTTGTGGTTAGATTTTGCCTCTCCCTTGGCCTGTCTCTGTTCTTCCATGCTGCTGCTAGCGTGAGCCATTTGCTAAGCCGAGTGTTGCTCAGATGTTCAGAGCTGTCCTACAAACCGGCTGCCTCTTAACGTGCACCACACAGTGCTCTTAGGCATCGAGAACAAAATTTACTCCCTATTCTGTGGGCTAGGAATTCAGATGCAGACACAGTGGAGGTGGTTTATCTCTGCTCTGTGATGTCTGGGGTCTCACCTGGGAGATGTGAAGGCTGGGGTGGCTCAAGAGCAGGGGGCTCGGATCATCGGAAGGCTGGCTCACCCAGAGGTCTGGCCGTGGACGGTGGCTGTCTGCCGGGACATCCCCGAGGACTGTCAGCTGGAACACCTACAGGCCACCTCTCTGTGCGGCCTGGGCTTCCTCACCATGTGGCAGCTCTTGGGGTAAGCGGCCGTCATGCACACCCCAATTGAAGAAATAGAGATCTGTTTCCAAGCTGCTGTGTTGGATAAACTGCAGGTCTACGTGCTGGTCTCTAACGTGGTGCGTGTGCAGGGGTGGGTTTTGGAGAGTGATTCTGGATATATGTAGATTCTTACATAATGTGCCGACCTTAGAACCTGCTCATTAGTAGGACCTGAACTGGGTGTCCTGTGCACCCAGTCATGTGCATGAACTCCCACTTTGTGCAGCAAGGCTGGGTGGGTGCAGGGGATGCTCTGCCGACTGAATGCCCAGTCTGCTTTGGGGGCCAGCTGGGCCACTGTGCACCTGGTTGGGGGTAACCAGAGGCCCCTGTCATCTTATTCCATCTGCACCCCATCCAGAAGGGGATTGCTACACACTGAGAGGGCCAGGTGGTGCCCCCTTGTTCCCCAAGCTCCTGCTGGCCTGCAGCCTTGTCCCCCTTGGTGTGGGAGGATGTGGACATAACAGGCCTCCCTGAGGGAAGCTTGGGAAGTCTGAGGCTACCCTCCAGGGCACTGTTGACAAATGATATGCAAATGAGCACTCGCACCCTCACCTGCCAAACCCTTGCCCCGGGATTGCCCATATTACATTAGGTTACTGCTGTACCCTCGAGTCTAGCCGAACTACTGGTGGGGTCTTGCTCACAAGAGCATCGGCATTTGGTGTCCCGCTCCCTTGGGGTTTCATGGAAGACAAGGGGAAATTGAGAAGCAAAGGGACGTGAACCAGGAGGCTGAGTCACCTGGTCCTGGCCAACCTTCCAGGCTCAGACTTTGCCTCCCACGCCGGCTGACCCTGGCCAATGCCACACGTTCTGCATGTGGGGGAGGCTGAGGGCAGGATGAGGTTCGTCCTCGCCTTGCCCGGCCCTCTGGCCCCTGGGGATGGAGCCTGGTGGCGGCTGGGGAGACTCCCTTCCTCCCCTTCCTCCCCTTCCTCCTGGAGCTCTGCAGTGCTCAAGTCTGGGAGGCCAGCACCTCGACCCTGGTGTCCCTACAGCCCACCTCTCTGGGGCTCCCCTGGGTTGCTGCTGCCCCCTGGGGGCAGGCAGGCTTTTGGGTTGTTGCAGTGACTGGAAGTGACACTCCTGGCATTTGGTGGACGGAGAACAGGAAAGCCAGCTGGCTACCACTCTGCGCAGTGAAGCCTGTTTCACGTCTTCCATGACTCGCAGATCTGCCACTGACCTTCACCGAGAACTTCATTACCCAGAACCTCAGCAGGGACTGCTGACTGCAGTGCTCACCCTCGCTTACCGGTCAGCTCTGCTCTTCGATTTTCCCGTATGGTTAGGAATTGCTCCGGTCCTCTCACTTCTTGAAGTCCAAACTTGTAACTCCCTGACGACTTCGTTACAGCCCCTCACACCTTCCTGCCTGAGCTGTCACACCCGGAAATACGTGCAGTAAAATGTTACTTTCTTCTCATTTCTCTATTCTCTTTCCGTTGGGGCATTAAATTGCTTTTGTGTTTGTTTGTTGTTTTTAAAAACATGGTATGTAAGTGGACTATACCCGAGTGTCATTTTGGGATGAAAAAAAAAAAAGAACCTCAAGTATGGTAAGGTTGTGGCCTGATGACCTGTACTTGCTGTTGATGTGTGAACTCAGAAAATCCAGCGGGAATAAAGTGGGGCCAAAGGGACACTGTTCCTGTTCAGCACCAGGGGGTCGCTAGCCCCAGGGCCCTTAGTCCCCTTGGTTCTGGCAGAAGTCCCAAATAAATCCCAGATCCTCCAGCTGTTTCATAACTCTTGCATGTTTTTCCCTGTAGTGTTACCTATTTTTATGGCCTTTGCTGCAGCCAGGATATGACTTAATTTTCTATTTCTGCCTCTTTCTATCATCCCAGGGCTGAGTTGGCTGGTAGTGTGTAGCCTTAAACCTAGTTGAAGTCACTGGGGAGTAGAGTAGAACACAGGACAGCCCTGACCCCAACACTGGCCACCACGGCCTGTGGCTCTGGTCTAAATTCTGTTTCGTTTTAAAAGAACATCGGACTCCAGTGATTTGCTTCTTCTTTTTTTTTTTTTTTTAAAGATTTATTTATCTGACAGAGAGAGACATAGTGAGAGAGGGAACACAAGCAGGGGGAGCGGGAGAGGGAGAAGCAGGCTTCCCGCCGAGCAGGGAGCCCGATGCGGGGCTCGATCCCAGGACCCTGGGACCACGACCCGAGCTGAAGGCAGATGCTTAATGACTGAGCCACCTAGGTGCCCCTGATTTGCTTTTTCTTTATTGTTCTGCCAAAGGAGAACACTAGCTCTGCTCCTCACTAGTCACTGATGGTCAGTCTGCCAGGTGGCCAGAACCATGCTGGGCATTGTGAGGGTCACAGAGATTGGCAGACTCTACCCTAAGACTACAGGATAGTAGGAGAGAATGTATGCAGAGGGAAACCTAAGCATAGACGTGAGAGTCAGGTAGCTTTAGGAGATGAGGATACCTAAGACCCAAGTAGTGATTACAGGTGATGGAGACTCAAATTGACTTAAGCAGAAAAGGTCATTGATTAGTTCTCATCCCTTAATAAAGTTCATCAGCTTCAGGTACAGCTGGATCCAGGGATTTGAAGGATTTCATTCCAACGTGGTCTCTCCGGCCCTTCTGCCCTCTACCTTTCCTATCTGCTTTTCTCCCTTTTCCTTTTGTTCTCAGGCAAGCTTTCCCTACCTTGGCAATAAGACAGCTACCAGCATCCTGGAATTTCATCATATGAATTCAGTAACCCCCAGAAAGGGGGTTCCAAGCTAACTGGCCAAAGAAACTCCCACGGAGATCCCAGGGAGGGTTCTCAGTGGCTCATTTTGGGCCACATGCCCATCCTTGAACCAATCACTGACCAGTGAATGTAGTGACTCAGTAGGCCAGCCTAGGTCACATGGTACCCTTCCCCTCAACCTGGGCTCAGCCTGGGGCTATCAGAAAGGGCCCTGGAAGCTGGGCACCTGCCCATTAGAGGCATAGACAGAAAGTGCTGAATTTATCCAGGGATGGTGTTCAGGAGTTTTCTATGTACTTTGCCCCAAATGACATCTTAAGCCAGAGAGGCGAGACTGGGACTAGGTCCTTTCCCTGCCTCAGCCCTGCCCCTCACTCCCTGTGTTTGCTGGGGTTCCCTGTGTAGCAGAGGGCTGCTATACCCCTGCAGTTTGGCTATTAAAATAAAAATTTGGACTGATCTTGGTCTCAGGGGAGGCATACGGTGCTGGAATAAGAGAGGGTATATGTGTGCATGGGTGTGCATGGGGGAGCGTGCACATGCGTGTGTGGATGTGGATGTGTGTGTGTTTGTCAGATGGGGAGGACGTTGCTTAGAAGGCAGGAGGGACTTCCTCGCCCGACCTGGTTTTCCTCCCTTCGCTCCAGGTCCCTGTCATTTCTCTGGAGTTCCCAGGACCTGGCCTTCATCACGTGGTTAGCTTGTTGAACCCACAGCCAACTTCAATTTCTAGGTCATGTGCAGCCCTTGATATGGAGACTGATGAGAGAACCATTTCCTTCACAGTCAGGATAGACAACCCAAGTGGAGTTCCGTTGCTCAGCAGCAGGGATCCTTCTGTCTGCAGCGGCTTGGGCCCCGCCGACTCCTGGCAAAGTTCCAGGTGCCATCTGTGCACACCGAGGGCTCAGGGATCCAGGAGAGGGCATGGGTTTGGGGTCATCTTCCTCCCAGATGAAACTCTGGCCCTGCCTGTTATCAGCCGTGGGACACAGCCATTCCGCTCACCTGGCAGAGCCTGCTTCCTTACCTGGGAGATGGGGATGCCACTGCTTGCTTGCAGGGTGGGTTGGAAAGGGACGAGGTGTGCCGAGCTCAGTGCAGGGGAGGGGCTGTGTCCTCCCTGAAAGAAACGCCTTTGGGGGGGCAGTACTTAAGCATTTGTCACAGGGCCTGTCCGGGTGACAATGAGCCAAGCCTCAGGTGCCACAGTGACTGTGAGAACTCTCTTTCTTGCCAGCTTCCCCTTTCTTCATCCTGCAGCTCAGCTCATCCACCCCAACCCCAGAGGTGTTTCTCCTCACCCTCAGCTCGGGCCTGATCTGGCCGCCCCTCCTCCGAGCTGGGATCCCAGCAGAAATTACAGGTGTATTTTTTCCTGATTTGACTTGTATCTATCCCCACACTGGTCCACCCACCGGTCCCATGGGCAGGCCTGGGTGTTGCTCATCACTCGGTTACCCGTAGTAATATGCTCTTAGTAAATACTACCAGGTGTGACTCAGTGACTGAACGAAGGTTCGGGATACGGATATAACACAAAGAATATTGCATCTTTTTTTTTTTTTTTTAAGATTTATTTATTTGACAGATAGAGACACAGTGAGAGAGGGAAGATAAGCAGGGGGAGTGGGAGAGGGAGAAGCAGGCTTTCTGCGGGGCAGGGAGCCCGATGCGGGGCTTGATCCCAGGACCCTGGGATTATGACCTGAGCCGAAGGCAGACGCTTAACCACTGAGCCACCCAGCACCCCAAGAATATTGCATCTTAATTCCAGTCTCCAGTAGCTGTGTGGCGCTGAATAAAGTCCTTTTATCTCTTGGGCTTCAGTTTGCTTTTCGTACCATGAAGAGTTGGTTAGATCCCTTTTTCCTTTTCTTTTTTTATGGCACCCTTTTCTTCTTCCTCAAATAAAATCTTATGTGGGGCCCAGATATTTAAACACTGCTCACAGATCGAGTGGAACTGCTGTGATTGAGGTGTGGATGGGGTCCCAGAGCCCTCCCCTGATGCCTGCCCCCTCTTCACCTTTAGCCTCCAGGGGCTTGGCACCCACTTGAACATGGCCAGGCCAGAGTCTCTCCTAATGTCCTGGGATATGGTCTACATCTCAGACCACAGGACACTCCTGGAAACATTTTTTTTTTTTTTTTAAGAAAATTAAATCCTTGATGTGAGCTTGTTTTCTGATTATTTCTCAGAGTGAATAATTTGTATAGATAAGAAGGCACTATGAATGTTCTGTCTACTGGTACTCTGGCCAGTTGATAATTCTCCTGTATTTTGTCTGGAGCTGAAGGGCCCTGGGACATCTAGCTATAGGGGTTCCCTCTTTCTACCTTGGTCCCCAACCTGGAGGAGAGGGTTGCTATTTGTCTTTATGTCTTCAAGTCTGGGGCATTCTATGCTTTTCCCCCCATCAGCTAATTGAGATTTCCAGCTAAAAGAAAGTGTGACCTGGACAGAGGGAGTTAATATTTTAGACCAAAACCAGTCACTGTCATTTTAGTAACAATTAGTTTCTGTCCCATGGTCAGAGAATCAGGCATGACTTTCAGGGGGCTGGGACACAGAGCGGGGCCTTCTGTTGGGGAGCTAGCACAGTGTGGACAAAGCCACATGGTGTGGACTCTGTGGTCACAACCTGGGATTCCCATCCTGGCTCAGCTGTAGTTCACCCATGTGGACTCGTGGACCTTTGATTGCCCAGAGGCCCCATCTGTCAGATGGGTACATTGTGCACTGACTGTTAGAACTATGGGAGACAAAATGAATAGTGTATATGATCTGCATGGCATGTGAGTCCTAAACGGCGTGAGAGGTTAATAGTATGAGCGTATACAGGAAGAGGTAACTATTGGGAGGAAGAGATCAGACCCTTAGCATGGGGAGTAGAGCAGAAGGAGAGTGCTATCAACTGAGTGAATATTTGTGTCTCCTCAAAATTCATATGTTGACATCCTAATCCCCAAATGTGATGGTATTTGGAGATGTGGCCTTTGGGAGGTAATTAGGTCATAGGGGTAGAGCTCTCTTCCGTGGCGGAGGAGGGCCCTTATAGAAGAGACAGGGAGTTCCTTTGCCATGGGAGGATATAATGAGAAGACAGCTGTCTCTGGACTAAGAAGCAGGGGCCTTCACCACACACCGGACTTCTGGCCCCTTGATCTTGGACTTCTAGCCTGCAGAAATGTGAGACATTAAGATTTCTTTTGTTTCTAAGCCTCCCAGTCTATGGTGCCCTGGGATAGCAGCCCAGACTAAGGCAGAGGGTGTCTAAGTACAGGATCCGAGCCCGTGTGATACAACGCAGTGGTTTTCAAACGCTGGTCCAGGTGTCGGGATCTGACTGCACCAGCCTCCCCTAGAAAGTTTGTCAAAGATCCAGCTTCCCAGTCTCACCTCTAGATATTCAGGATACCGATGGCTGAGAATCTGTAGCCTTAACCAATGCCCCAGGATGATTCTTGTGCATAGTCAGAACAGGAAATTGACATTTGGAGTCAAAATGATTGGGCTTTGGAACCAAAATTCACCTTTAATTTCAGTTGTTAGTTCACTGTGGACTTACCTGCTCTAAACCTCAGTTTCTTCTGTGAAATGGGGACAGTCCCTGCCCTACCTATCTCCCAGGGTTGTTTGGAGGCTCCTATAAGACACAGAATGTGAATGCACTTTGCAAACGAGCACACCATATATATATCTC